CAGCGCCTGCTGCAGGGGCCGCGGTGCAGGAGGCAGCCAGGGGCGCGTGCCCCCCAGGCCCCTGATGGTGGGCTCCCCTCGCACCCCCAATGTTTCCCACCGCTCTCAGGGCTGCCATTCGCAAAGGCTGGAAGGAGGGCCTCGCTGGTGTGGCTCAGTGGATAGAGCGTCGGCCTGCAGACTGAAGGGTCCCGGGTTCAATTCCCGGTCAGAGCACTTGCCTGAGTTGTGGGCTCGATCCTAGTAGGGGGCGTGCAGGAGGCAGCCGGTCAATGATTCTCTCTCATCATTGATGTTTCTATCTCCCTCTCCCTTCGTCTCTGAAATCAATAAAAATATATTTTTAAGAAGCCGGAAGGAGACAGAGCTGGTGGAGCTAGGGTATTACTGTGTCGCTGTCGCAGTCCTGGTGTTGCTCTAACAGCGTCGTGCACAGCAGGGTGGACGGTCTTTGTGTCCCAGGGCAGGCCCTGTAGGAGGAGCAGGTGTTGGGGACGTGGGAGGAGCAGGCGCCCTTGAGGAACGGGCCCAAGGCTGGCCCGTGTCAGCGTCAGGTTTAAGCGAGGCGAGGCCATCAGGCCTGGCGGGCGGGGCTGGGGTGGCGCTGGGGGCCCTGGCGCAGGGTCACGTGACCTGCTGGGCTGCCGAGACGTGGACGCACCGCCACCACTTGCTGGCTGGCCCGGCAGCTCCCAGGAGGCCACGCGTGACACGGAGAAAAAAAAAGCTGTCCCTCTCTGCTCCTGGGCACGGTGGGGGCCCTGGCGCAGGGTCACGTGACCTGCTGGGCTGCCGAGACGTGGACGCACCGCCACCACTTGCTGGCTGGCCCGGACGCTCCCGGGAGGCGACGCGTGACACGGAGAGCCGTGCTTTTGCGAGTCCCTGTCCCTGGCGCCCGCCCCGGCACGTACGGCGTGTTGTGCAATCTGTGAGCGTGTCATCTGTGAAGTCACGGCAGGGAGAGGCCTGAAGGCTTCCAGATGGAGCTGCGTGAGGCCAGTAACCTCGGGCTCCAGGCTGCGAGGGGAGGAGCGCGGAGCAGCTCCCATTGCCGTCCGAGAGCGCGCTCCAGGGGACGCGGGTGTGGAAGGCTCTGGATCTTTCTTAATTCAGAGGATTAAGAAACCGCAGACATTGGAGTGAAAATTAGAAGTATTCAATTATTGGGGGGAAATTTTCCTAAAATCACAGTTTATCTTTTAAAAACATATCTTTATTGATTTCAGAGAGGAAGGGCAGGAGAGAGAGAAACATCAATGAAGAGAGAATCATTGATCAGCTGCCTCCTGCACGCTCCCTACTGGAGGTTGAGCCTGCAACCCAGGCATGTGCCCTTGATCGGAAATCAATGTGCCCTTCAGTCCGCAGGCTGGCGCTCTATCCGCTGAGGCTGAGACCACAGTTCTAAGGCTCTAGTGGAATCACTGCACATTTTAGTGGGGATGGAGCCCCTCCTACTTCCTTTGGGGGCACACCCCGTCCAGTCGGCGGTGTGAATAGTGGTGCCGGCCATCGATGACTCGCCTGTCTCCTTGCCGTCTCCCGTGCAGGCGAGGTGACACCGAGCGTTTTGAGTGCCCTCTGAGCGAGGCGCTGGCTCTGTGGAGACCCGCTGGTCTAGACTAGAGGTGCTGAGTCGCGGTTTCCGGGACCAGAGAGACCGTGGCCATGCAGGTGCCCGTGGGCCCCCGCACAGCTGTGAGGGGCCCGGGAGTCCCCGGAGGAGCTGGTAGGCGTGGTGTCTGGTGGCCACAGTGGAGGGCAGGCTCCGTGTGACTCACCTCTCCTCGCCATCAGAGTGTCGGTGTCCTCGCAGGTAAGCGAGGGGGATCGAGGAGGGCCTGCGCTCCTACTGTGTGTCACGTGCTCTCAGACCCTCGGAGATGCTCATGTTCCCACTGGGGAGCCAGGCACCTCAGTTGCGGCTGTAGCACAGGCCGGCACGCCTGCACTGGGCACGCGAGGGAGGGAGGGCGCCGGCGCTGTGAGGAGCTGATGGGCCCCGGGGGGGTGAGGCCGGGCCAGGTTGTGGGGACTTGCAGGTACCTAGGTGCCGAGTGGTGCTGGGGAGCCACGGAGGCGCTGGGCAGGTGACTCAGACACGGCCTGGAGGCAGAGAGCACTGGGCGGCGGTGGGGGGGGCGGTGACTGAGGGACAGCAGATGGACGGTGACGAGGGCCGTGCAGTGGCCGTGGATGAGGTGGGAAGGGTTTTGGCGGTGGGCAGACCAGGCTGTGATGGCAGGAGGGGCTGCGGGCGCAGGGCTGTGGGCTGTGAGCGCTCAGCAGGGAAAATGGCAACGTTTCAGTGGTTCGGGCAGAGCCAGGGGAGGACGGGGGCGGGGGCACTGGGCGTGGGGTCCGGGGAGGGGGAGGATGGCCCAGCCAGGACCATCCTGCTTCAGGGAGCCGCCCGTCCCGTTCCCGTTCCTGTTCGGTTCCCGCGTGACGTGGCCTCTTTGCCTTGCAGTGCTCGCCCCTCCGGCGCCGCCGCCGCCCCCCATCCAAGGATATGCCTTCAAGCCCCCGCCCAGACCCGACTTCGGGACCTCGGGGAGAACAATCAAGTTACAGGCCAACTTCTTCGAGATGGACATTCCGAAAATCGACATCTATCACTACGAGTTGGACATCAAGCCAGAGAAATGCCCGCGGAGAGTGAACAGGTACCGTGGCCTCAGGACGGGTCAGTCGGTCGGTCGGTCGGTGTGAACTTTGCTGCAGACACAGGTGCTGGTCAGCTCGGTCCAGCGGGGCCTCCCGATTCCTCCCCCGGAAGTTCCTTCCCGTCACGTGGATGCTGTGGAAAGCGGCTTTGTCTCGCGGTGCAGTGAGGTGCGCGTCCAGACGCTCACAGCCGCTCAGCCCCAGGGTGGTGCCCGCCCCTGCCCGCCGGCCCTGCCCTCTGGGGTCGTGTCCGAGCCGTGTCGCCGCGGGTTCGGCCCGTGTTCCTAGGTGGACCGGCATCCTTGTGTTAGGAGCTTCTTGTTTTACTGCTCAGGACCGTCTGACATGAATAGCTCATCATTTCATTTATTTTTCTATTTATTGTTCTTTTTTAATCCTCACCTGAGGGTGGTTTTTTGCCTATTTCTCCCAGGCAGCGGCCTGCCTTTCCTTTTCACAGGTGAAGGTATCTTAAGAGAAAGACGTTTGATTTTTCTATCGTCCTGTTAATCTTTTCTTTCACAGTTGAGACTGTTTATGTGCTGAGACATCTTGTCTGCCCGGCTTCTTACAGCTTTTTCTCTTTTGCTTCCCTCCAGAAGGTCAGGTCTATAGCTGGCTGTTACTTCAGTCTGTAATTTGTTACACATAATTACCTTCATCTTTAAACCCGACCTTTCAATCCTGGCGTCTGCCCAACCTTGACACGTTGTGTTATTGTTGACGTGTTGCTGGATTCCTTTTGTTACTGCTTTGTTTCTGCGTCTGTTTATCAGTGAGATTGGCCCATGATCACCTTGTCGGGCGTTGAGATAAAAGCTTCGCTAGCCTTGCCCGGCCGCGTGGCTCAGTGATTGAGCATCGACCTATGGACCAGGAGGTCGTGGTCCGATTCCCGGTCAGGGCACATGCCCAGGTTGCAGCTCGATCCCCAGTGGGGCGTGCAGGAGGTGGCCGATCAGCGATTCTCTCTCCTCATTGATGTTTCTCTCCCTCCCCCTCCCCCTCTGGAATCAATAAAAATACATTTTAAAACAACGAAAGCTTTGCCAGCCCCAGAGAGTGGTTGGGCGGCGCCCTCTCCATTCTGCTCGCGGGCATGTTATCAATGTGGGTGGAGCTCCCAGCGTAGCCACCTGACCTTGAGGCCTTGGACGCCTTGGCCATGAAGACGGGCCTTGAGGCTTGGGAGCCGTGGCTGGAGAGGCGCGGTGGCCAGTGGCACACGGAGGCGCAGGGGCGTTGGGTGGAGGCCCTTGCTTTGTGCTGCCCGGGTTGTGATCTCCCAGGTGGTGTCGGAGGCCGGGAGGCCTGGTGCGTTCTCGGTGGCGCCATCAGAGGAGATGCATGGAGAGGTTCCGTCTGCCCCGGGGACTCCTGGGCACGGGGTGTCCGGGCCGGACTGCTGGGTCCCTGTGATTGTGCTGTGCAAGGTCGGCGGGCAGAGCTGGGCAGGCCGGCTGTCCGCGCTTTCTGGGGACGGAGGGGGTGCCTTTGATTCTTGCTTCCTGACGGGGCAGGGCTGCCCGAGAGAAGCCTGAGCAGAGCTGGGCTCAGGCCCCAGCGTGGGGAGGCTTTAGGTACCCGTCCCCCGCCCTCTGTCCTGCTTTCAGGGTTCGTCTCCCCTTTACCACATCCTCCTGCTGGCCACTCGCTCTCCGTCCTTCACATGTCTGCCTGGAGGGCCGCAGGGCCAGGCCGGGGTCACGGTCATCCCGCCTGTACTTTGCTAGGCACTGTGTGCGCTCGCGTCAGGTGGTCGTGAGTTGAATTGTGGTGCCGCGAATGGCCCTGAGCTGCTGGCAGACGTGCCTGCGTGGCCCGGCACCTCCGCGGGGCGTGGCTCTCACGTGGCCCGTGGTGCCGGGGGCACTTGGCGGAGCAGCTCCTGTGAACCGGGGTCAGCTGCTGTGAGGCCCGAGGACAGACAGCACCCACGTCGGGCGTCAGCGGACACCCACGGCGCGCACGGCCCTGCGGGCGGTGCCTGGGCCGCTGGTCAGGCCACTCAGGGTCTGAGGGAAATTCAGGGTCCTTGTCCCAGAGCCCGACGGAGCGGCCCCACCGGGATAGTGCCGGGCGTTCCTGCGGGGCCGGCGGGGGGCCGGGGGCCTCACGTTCCTGATGAGCCGAGGCTGGGAGGGTGAGGCTCCTGGGCCTCTTGTCCGCTCTTAACATTTCGCTCGCGTCTGTCCTGTTGCAGGGAAATAGTGGAGCACATGGTCCAGCACTTTAAAACTCAGATCTTCGGGGATCGGAAGCCAGTGTTCGACGGGAGGAAGAACCTCTACACAGCGATGCCCCTTCCGATCGGGCGGGAGAAGGTGAGTCCCGGGCGGGGCCTGGGCCCTGCGTGTGGCCGGCTGTACGGGAACCGTCCTGCGGGGGAGCGCGCTGGCCTGTCAGGACGCCGCCCGGTGCCCTGGGAGACAGGAGTTGAGGTCTTGAAACCACTGGGCTTTCCCGTGTGAGACAGGCCCACGTGGCAGGTGCCTCCAGGTGTGCAGACAGGAGCCGGGTGGCCCCTGGGGTGGTGACGCCTGAGGAGAGGTGCCCACACGGCTGTAGGCGTGTGCGTGCGTGTGTGTGTGCGTGTGTGTGTGTGTGTCCGTGGCAGTAAAACAAGGCTGACTTTCGCCTGTAGCCAGTGGTTCACCTGGAGTGACCGACACGGGGAGGCCTGCGTGCTCCCAGCCGCCCTCTCTTCCCGTCTGTGTCCTGCTCCGGGGCGAGTGGCTGTTTAAAAAGTGGTCAAGTTCCCGCTTAGAAGGTGTCCCCGCGGGCGGCTCAGCGCGGAGGCCTCGCCGGCTGCCCGCTGTCCGTGCGCCCGGCAGGCTTGCGGTGTTTGCTGTGTGTTTAGTGATCACCCTGAGGAGACAGAGCTCCTGCGCCCGTGGGCGGCTCCGGCTCCGGCGGGGGCTGTGCCCGATAAGAGCAGAGGCGTTGGGCCAGGCGCCTCGTGATAAGGCTCCGTGCTGAAGGCCGGTGGCACAGAGA